ATACCTGGTCACAGTCCACATCAAGAATGGTGAAGACCACGGCGAATTTGCCGCCTATGTTCATTGCTTCCTCGTGAATCATGTCGTGGTTGTGGATGAGACCGCGTTCGTACGCATGCTGCTCAATCTAAATTATTTTGATCGCATGCAATAATAGTCAATTAGTGTCAAGGGTTGAGAAGGGAAGGGGCAGGAGCAAAAATGGTCTTAGCTCTGCTTCGATGGTACTGTGTTGCTAACCGTGTATCCGACGGCACTCATGTAGATTGGATTCATTTTCGGATTGAAGTTGGCTTTAGTAACGACAATAGCCTGTGCATGCTCGACTTCACGTTTTCGCCCAGTGGCACCGGCACCGGCTCCTCCAGCACCAGTTGCCCCTCCTCCAGCACCAGTTCCGGTATTGGCTCCTCCAGTACCAGTTGCCCCTCCTCCAGCACCAGTTCCGGTATTGGTTCCTCCAGTACCAGTTGTTCCTCCGGTCCAGAATTCGGAGCGCAGGCCTGTAACAGAGTACAATGTTATGTTATCATGCCGGGAATTCTTTTTCTAACAAATATTTTCAAGTGTCATAGTTTGTTCCAACTGTTCATGAATTTTATATCCTCATATGTTCACAATCTGTGGCCCTAAATTATCATTAGCACACTTACCAGCGAGGTCGCGATGACACTGAGAATAATTACCAAATGAACCATGGCGATTTGTTACGCAGCGACACGGTCAATAATCGTTTTCACTAACGAGGGGAGGTCGTTCAGGGCGTAGAGCGCTACAATCACATCTGAAGAATATGTGGTGTGTACCATTTCTGATCTCGACATGGCTTTCTCACCTGCTAGAGTTATTGGCCGCCTTCTATCGTCGTTCACGCCCGATTTTTCTCCTCCTACGAGAAAAGAAATCGCAGCCGACGCTCACGCACTCATTACTGCCATGCCGGTGATGTACGCAGATGGACGACTCGGAGAAAAGCTTCTCGTCATTCTTCCCGAAAGGGGAGGAGTCTTTCCGCAGTCAGGACATTGGCAGGCACCAAACCTGCTGGTGATGGCTGGAAAGACTCACATCATGACAAAGTCGCAGGTCCCAGCTTTCGTCAAGGAGTGTGTGGTTGGGTCGTCGTCCCCTCCACTTACAATACTTCTTGTCGACAGCTGGGGTGGATTCACTGACCACACCAATGTGCTGTCAGAGGTGCCCGAAGGTAAAGAGCTCCGTTTGATGACCATCCCAGCAGGAGCAACTGCCCTCTGTCAGCCATTGGATGTGTATTTCTTCCGACTATTCAAACGATACATCAGGCGCCTTCATGACCATGTGATGCATCATCACCCTGGTTTCGCCCCTAGTAGGGACAATATTCTCAAGGTAAGGGCTTCTTATTAACAATGTTGAGTGAACTTCCGCATACTATTTTTTGTGCAGGTTGTCAGCCAGACGTATAGGCAGTTCTGTGCGCCCATTTTTCGTCCTTGCCTAGCGTACGCCTGGGTGGCTGCAGGATACGTCGACGACCATCCAGGAGCTTTTTCGACGCCGGCTGATTACGGTTTCAACGGAGGTGAAATTGTCGGCGGTTGCCAAGGGATCGGCAGCTGCTCTTCCTTGGCATTCGTCAAGTGCAGCTGGTGCGGCAAACAGCTATGTTTCACTTGCTTTATAGAGTTGTACCACACGTGTTAATAATCTGTTTGCAATAAATGGAAAATTTTACACATCGAGCAAATCCTAAATGATCCCGTGGTCTGCTCTGCGAGGGTTGTCCACGCTGATCACAAATACGAATAGTTGCTGGTGTCATTTATTCTCATTCTAGAGATACAATTTTCTAGCCAGTTTTCAGTGAAAACCTAGCGCACGGGGTCATTGCTGCTCCTGGTCACGACAATGACCAGTCAGACACTCATTTTGGCACTGGTGCAGTTTGGAGCCAAGATGGAGGTGCCAGCATAAAATGCAAAAAATTTCGCGCGCGGAGGATCCGAACCACCAACCCAGTCCACTCGTGCCAACTCCAGTCCACAGCACTATCCGCTAAGCCATCCGTCGCTGCCGACATCCAAGCTGCAGATAGCTGTTATGAATCTTCCGCACACTCCGTAGCATGTAGCATGACAAGGATCCATTTTTGGCTAAACCTCACGTTATTTTCGATGCACAGTTCACTACGACCTTTTACTATGCCTATAGTTGACGCCATGAATGAAACACACCACGTTTAACAAGTAAAAACTGCAGTTTCCAACAAAATGATTTTCACTCCTTTTTTGGCATTCAGAAGGCCATTTAGCGGAAATGGACCATAGATCTGTGTTCACTGCACCTGCCCCTATTTCATGCAAAAAACCGTTTTCAAAAAGCGCTCCACGCCCTGAACGACCTCCCCTCGTAAGTGGATAAAAGTTAGTCGAACCTCTAAAAACTCAGTGATTAGATTATAGGTTCAAACAACAGCGAGTACTTTCTGATACGAAATCCTAACAGCTCCAGTCTTAATTTTGCCTCACCAATATCGCTGGAGTCGCAACTTCAAACGTTAGGTTTGAAACCAGGGGAGTTTCTGAGTCCAAGAAACACTGTACGAAAAGAAGATCATTCCGTTTACTCCACAAATCTTCAAAAGAATCTGCTAACAAAGACGTCTTCATGATGACGGCCCCTCTAATTTTTCACTATATTGCTTTAGAAATAATAAAGCATAAGAGTTATTATCAAACTTTTCTGTAGGTAATTTTGCCATTGATTCGTATAGGAACGAGTTTACATGGGCCGCAGTGATTACTGGTGTGAATGAACCTCTGTGAGAGCAAACAAGTAGTACTGTTGGAGGTCGGCTGGTCGGCCGTTATTTATGCTCACCATTGCGGTTCAGAGTTTAGGAACAATGCCTCTGTGACGCTTCTCGCAGGTGTTTTCGTGATCAAATATATTAGCGAAGCAATTATCTAACGTTGGTACACAAAATGATTTTGTTTACCAACGTTTCAGAGAAAAATCTTTATGATTTTTATAAAAATCTTTATATTATTATCTTTACAAATGAAGTCTTTATGGAATATCATGAAATATTTTCCGGAATGGTGGTTGCGGAATTTCATTATCCATGATGGCTTTCTTGGTATGTCCACACATTGTTGCGACACTGTTGCGAAGATGACTTTGGATTTGATTTGCAGCAATGAGGGGATTCAATCGACCTCTCACATGTTGGTTCCAGGCGGTTAGAAAATTTCAGTGCATACCAAAGCTGGCACTTCCCATTATAATGGGTCTCCCAATTCCTGTTCGAGTTCCTATTGAATTCGAACTCCTCCTGTTTAGGATCGCTTAATTGCGGAATAAGATGACACATTAAAAATGCATGGGGTGCAGTGACATGTCTCTTCAGGAGAGCAATCCCGCAGAAAGTTACTTAATTGCGATTAGATGATGAGATGAGAAAAGGATTATGCTTCATTATCTTCACGTAGGTCAGTATCCGCTGTTGCAAGGAGGACAGTGGACAGAACCGCTTGAAACATCTCGCACATCTCCAATGCACGTCCAACCTCATTTTGCAATCCCGACTCGCAACTTTCTGAGTGGAACGGCGTGGACCAAGATGCTGCATCCACCATATAGCATTAGCATTGCTCCATCGGATTATTGCCTCCACGGGCTCTCAAATAGCAGCTGCGAGAGAAAAATGTAAAAGGTACAATCACGCAAAAGCCGAATTCTCCAAATTCTTCAAGCCCCAGCTTCAATCATTCTGGGAGGCAAACGTCCAAACATTTTCAGTAACATGCGTATCACTGTCCATGCGGTGGTACAGTGTTGATCAGTTGTTGCTTGGAGAGTGAAACTTGAATAAACTAAAGTGTTAAATGCGGACAAGATTTATAGGTTGAGCCAATATTTCTTATCGATCCTCTTGCGATTTTCGGATAATCCCGAAATTCACTCGCCACTCAACAGATGCCCATTTTCAAAAATTTCCAATTTATCACGTCGATGTAGAGAGGACTGCATAGAAACCTATGTGAAAAAATGGAGCAGGTATTTATCCATGAAATCACCTTCGAGAAGCGTCACAAAGGCATTGTTCCTACCTCTGAACCGCAATGTCGTGAGCATAAATAACGGCCGACCAGCCGACCTCCAACAGTACTACTTGTTTACTCTCATAGAGATTCAGTTACACTTAGTAACCATTCTGCGGCCCATGAAAATTCTTAGACTTTACGCGATTTTCTTAGTGGCAAAATTCCCTGTGAGAAGAGTTTATGATAACCTTGCGCTTTATTATTTCCGAAGCAATATAATGGCGAATTAAAAAGAGCCGTTCGTCATGAAGATGTCTTTGTTAGCAGATTCTTTCAAAGACCTGTGAAGAAAACGAAATGATCATTTTTTCGGCGTTTCTTAGACTAGAAAACTCTCACTGGTTTAAGAAGCTTAACTTTGAAATTGCGTTCACAGCGATGCAAATTTGAGATGGGTGCTGTTAGGATTGGGTATCGCTGTTGTTTGAACTTGTAATCTTATCATTGAATTCTTAGAGGTTTGACTAACTTTCATCCACCTAGTGAAAAGGATTATTGACCGTGTCGCTGCGTAAACAAATCGCCATGGTTCATTTGGTAATTATTCTCAGTGTCATCGCGACCTCGCTGGTAAGTGTGCTAATGATAATTTAGGGCCACAGATTGTGAACATATGAGGATATAAAATTCATGAACAGTTGGAACAAACTATGACACTTGAAAATATTTGTTAGAAAAAGAATTTCCGGCATGATAACATAACATTGTACTCTGTTACAGGCCTGCGCTCCGAAGTCTGGAGCCGGAGGAACAACTGGTACTGGAGGAACCAATACCGGAACTGGTGCTGGAGGAGGGGCAACTGGTACTGGAGGAGCCAATACCGGAACTGGTGCTGGAGGAGGGGCAACTGGTACTGGAGGAGCCAATACCGGAACTGGTACTGGGCGAAAACGTGAAGTCGAGCATGCACATCGCCATTCGCCAATTGCCAAATCAACAGTTCTATAGTTATATAATTGTAACGGAACTTTTAAATAAATCTTCAGATGATCTGTGATGTATTCTTGTGCAATTTATATGCCCATTTTTCATTTGTCAAATTTTTTCCCAGATAGCGTCCACTAGCGCGCATCAGACGCCCACACACTAAAAAAGCATGCATCACGGAGAGACCCACAATCAGAAGAAAGGATTCAATCCGATGAAACAAACAAGAAAAAGAAACAACAAGAAAAGTGTAATTGCAGAAAACACAAGATAGTTCTGAAAGGAAGAAAAAAGAAATGAGGATTACGAAATAAAATAATAGAAGCGCGCCAATGCAACCTGTGTGCGGCTACTTCGCGTGTTTGCATTGGCATTTCTCCTTTCAGAGTTAATACTGTTCAGAATGTTAGGTGGATTTGTGAAATACAGGGCAGCTAGTTCCAGAAAACCAGTACCAGAGGCTCGTATGAAGACTCCGTATTATGTATTCTATTACGAAGTTATTGAATGCTGGGTTGTGAACAAAACTTTCGCCCCAGGCGGGACTAGAACCCGCACCTCTCGCTTTCCGGGCA